GTAATTTACCCGTTATCCTTTTAGGTCTAGGCGCGTAGGGATGATCCGATCAACGACAACATTTAGTCAAAGGACTGTATATCTTGATGTTATCATATGAAAGCCCAATCTCGGATTGATTTCTTTATGTATGATAAATCTTTGCATAAAGGCAACACCAATTTCTATTTGTTGCAGAAACTACACCAGTGTGAGTCCAAGATATTCACCTTACAAAATGAAATTGACTGCATGAAGCCCAAACTTGCCGAAAAATCTCAACTGAAGTCAGAAATAGAGAGGCTAATAAAAGAACTTGTGATAATGGGTGAACTGAATCAGCACCATAAGGATATGATGGAGAAGGCGGCTGTTGATAAGGGAAAGAAACCTGAAGCTAGCTTGCAGTTTTATGCTTGTCAAAAAGAGTTAACAGGTAAGGATGAAATAGTTACTTTATATTGAAACTGTTAGCTTTTACTGTAGAGCATCATCATGCTTTGAAGCCAAAATGATACCACAATGTGTTGCATTTTATGACTGGAGCTGTTGCAGTAATTTACTTAGAGGATCCCCATTTTTTGGACTCCAAAATATCCCACAATGCATTGTATTTTATGACTTGAGCTGTTGCAGTGATTTTTTTTAGAGGATCCCCATTTTTTGGACTCCAAAATATCCCACAATGCATTGTATTTTATGACTGGAGCTGTTGCAGTGATTTTTTTTAGAGGATCCCCATTTTTTTGGATCCATTATATAACATTTTGAAAGGTTTTAATGTCAAGATTAACCCTTTTTTGGGCTTCATATTTATTTTCAGCCTCTAAGCAAATGGTAAGGAAACAGAAAACTGAAATAGAAGCCTTGCATTCAAAGGTTGCAGAACTGGAGAAACACTTAACAAAAAAGGTATAAAATTCATTAGTATTGTAAAACATATTTTTTATAATTTCAATTTTACATCTGGAAGAAAACTAGGTTTTTTTTACTGGGGTGGGGTGTGGGGAGTGATAATGGTGCTGTGGAATCCCCCGCATACTTTTTAAAATAGTTTTGGCCTTCCCCCTTAAACTCTTTACTGAGTAAGAAATTCATTTCCTTCCTATCAAGTCAACTAGAAGCTAGCTTTTGCCGAAATAAAAAGGTTTGACCCTCTACAAAAATTCACATTTTTATTGGTGACCCTCCCCTCTGAATTTCCAATCCCACCCCCCTTAATAACAGCGCTGTACCTTTCCTTATTGAACTTACCAGTAATGTTTCTATGTGATATTTCAGGATGTTGAAATGAAGGAGTTTAGAAAGTTTTCTGAGAGCTTGAATGGAATTTACTTGGCTAAACACAAGGTAATTTGATCAAAGTATATAAAATTCTAGTATACAGATTTTCAAACTTAGCTAACTTTATCTGGTTTGTTTTCATTTTCAGGCATTAGAAGAAAAATATACTGCACAGAAAAAAATCAACCAAACTCTAGAGGCTCGTATACTTAATTTACAACTTGCTCTAGAGGATACAAAACATGAAAACACGATGCAGGCAGCAGCCAAGACTAAAACTAGAGCAACAAGTCCAATTCAAGAGGAAACGTCTAGCGGTTAGGAACCATCTCACGGCACTCCTACTGGCAACCTAAAAACTTAACATTAAAGTATAGTAATAGCATAGAATGCGACCCCTTGGTGCTGAAGTTGTTGATAGGCTCTTATTAGGTTGTTGTATAGATGTTGTGTTTAAGGTGTCAGTAGGTTGATAGTGGCATGTTGGTAATGTTTTGGTAGGGTATCAGAAGCTGGTTGTTGGTAGGTCATCGTTGGGGTGTTGGTGGTTGTGTTTAAGGTGTCAGTAGGTTGATGGTGGCATGTTGGTAGGGTATCAGAAGCTGGTTGTTGGTAGGTCATTGTTGGGGTGTTGGCGGGTCATTTAAGGTGTCAGTAGGTTGATGGTGGCATGTTGGTAAGGTGTCCTAAGGGTGTCATCAGGTTCTTAGTAGGTTGTTGGTAAGGTGTTTTTAGGGTGTCAACAGGTTGTCGGTAGGTGGTCTGTAGGATAAAGATAGGATATAATGATAAGCTATTGGTCTATACTTTACAGTAATTTGGAGTCCATTTCCTAACTATTACTATTGTTTATTTTAGATATATTTTTATATCTAAAGTAATATATATTCATGGCTTAAATTAAAGGGCTTGATAGAGATAGAATACAGTAAATAAGACAAAGTTGAAACCATACTCATTGAAAATTTTAACTGACTTCAAAAAAACCTTTTTTTGCAATATCTTGATAAGTATTTTTGAATTATTGTTCATGAATTTAAATCTCATTGMAATTCTATTGCCCTTACAAGTTTGGAAAAACTGGCAAAATAAGTTCATGGTATGCTGATCAAATTTGAGAGGGTTTAAAAGAAAYTAAAATRAAATTGCTTCTAATCTTTTGCCTTGAATAGGCCTCTTTAGTTCGATCGGGCATAATGTTTTCCCATTTCAGACCAAGTGTCACTCCCAAGAGTATCATTCCTTTGTTAAATAGTAACTAACTTATCTAATTTAGGTGACGTCAACTATTCAACAGTTTGACTGAATGCACTCTTCATAGAGACCCTAGGGACATATAGTCTCCCCCACAGCCGCTTTCAGTGTCGTCACGCAACGCTTTCTCCCCTAAGGAGAGAAAGCGTTGCGTGACGACACTGAAAGCGGCTGTGGGGGAGACTAAGGGACATATGGCATAGGGACTGCGGAACGCTTAAGTGAAATGTGACAACTTCTAGTTCCTCTTGTGTAATTAAAAATCAACCACACCCTAAATCCATTGTTGGATGTAGGTTCTTAACTCAAATCCTTAAAGCCGGGGRCGGAATTGATATTAACAGGGGAGAACAAGGCTGAATTATAAACCCGGGACAGGTTTTTAATTACACGGATATATTGTAAGCACTAAATTTCCAAAAGAACAAAGCAACAGTAATCTATCTCTCTGAATTCAATGTAATGTAGTATTTCGTGTTTTGCATCGAAACAATGGAATTTAGGGCTTAGTTGATAGTTAAACCAGTTCAAACGCACGGGCTCGGCTTTGCATTAGAATTCAAGAATTCAAAACCTCGCCCTAGCGTTTAAACCTTTATTTAATTTTAGTGTTTCGTTTGAAAGAAAAAAAGTTTATTRAAATTTTGTTTTGTACAGCGAGTATTGTGACGGAAAGATAAATCCTGATTTTGAAATTTACAAGCTTTGTTATACTTAATAACTAGCCGTTGCATTGCCATAAACGATGTGTAGTGTGGATTAAACGGTTTTGTTCGTTTTTTACATCATTTTCAGACCCTCGACTTTTTACCCTCGACCCTCGACTTTTTACTCTCGACCCTCGACTTTTTATCCTCGACCCTCGACGCGCGACCTCCAGCCACACTCCATGTCAAGTGGCGTGACATGCACTGTGTGCATTCTACGGTGGCCCACAAGTCTCACGGCAAAACAAAAACTCACGGCAAAACAAACTAAACTCACGGCAAAACAAACTAAACTCACGGCAAAACAAACTAAACTCACGGCAAAACAAACTACACTCACGGCAAAAGGCAATAAATTCACGGCAGAATAAATTAAACTCACGGCAGAATAAAGAAAGCCACGGCAAAATAAACTAAACTCATGGCAGAATAAAGAAAGCCACGGCAAAATAAACTAAACTCACGGCAGAATAAAGAAAGCCACGGCAGAATCAGAGGAGGGTGATCAAGTCGCGTGAAGCATTGTGGGGTAAAAGTTTCATTATGCTTCATTTGCATTTGACYGTCGTTGTGTTAACATCTCCTGGCGAGAAAGTATTATGAATGCCAAATCTGTCTCACCGGTTTGGTGTGGATTTTCTTGCAGTTGGTGATTTCCTATATCTACACTGTGTGTACTTTCAATTTCTACATACTTGTACGGTGAAGTCTCTGCCATTTATAGCGATAAAACTAATTGGGGGCCACGTTAGCTTCACTGRCAACCCTCGCAAACGAAGGATTGTTTTGTTTCCTGACTGCCAAAACATCTGAGAACTAAATGACGAAAGGTGGCCTTTGACCATAAGGGTGTTACTTGCCTCAAAATGTTGCTAAGTGGTGGATATTTCATTTGATAACTTTATTCAAAYGCGATTGATTGAGCTAGAACATCGAGCATCCAAAAACCGATCGGCTTGGAATCACATACCCGGCGACTAAGATGACAAACCTTGAATCGATTTTTCTCTTCAAAAATATCTCCTAAAACCATTCATTTCATTACATACATTYATTTTTAATTATTTCTTGTCAAGCTTAGGTTCTTATCATTGAAACTTTTTGTTTTGGAATAATTATAAAACGTTCTTATTGTTTCAGGGTCAATATTGAAGTCTAAAGTCTTTTAAAGGTTATGATAAATTGATAAACTTTGCATTGTAAATTTAATAGTATTTAACCAGACGCCATTCGTATTTACGACATCAAAACCGCTGAGAAATTGCTCGCGGTAAAAAAAAAAAATCAATAGGGAACCCAATACGTCGTTGCCCATCACAACCTTCATTGTATTCTGCCGTGGCTTTCTTTGTTCTGCCGTTGCTTTCTTTATTCTGCCGTGAGTTTAGTTTATTTTGCCGTGAATTTATTGCCTTTTGCCGTGAGTTTAGTTTGTTTTGCCGTGAGTTTAGTTTGTTTTGCCGTGAGTTTAGTTTGTTTTGCCGTGAGTTTAGTTTGTTTTGCCGTGAGTTTTTGTTTTGCCGTGAGACTTGTGGGCCACCGTAGCATTCTCATTGGCCGAACGTGATTTGTCTCGAGTGGTCACGCCAAACGCCGAATTAAGCGAGATCAAATTAATATAACACTGAGGTGGAATCATAGTTATAGCGCTTTTTGTGGGCTTACATTGTATAAATTTGCAGAATGTTAGGAATATCAAGGAGAAAAGCTTTCCAATTAGGACATTTCTTTCTTCAAAAAGGATTCAGGGCAAGCTCAACGAAGACAACAAAGAGCGTTGGACTCGTTGGAACAGGAAACCTCGGCTCAGTGGTAGCCGTTGCTCTTAGGGATGCTGGCATACCGTTAAAGGCATTTGATCTAAATCAAAAGAACTATGAACTACTTCGAGACAACGGTACAGTGTTAGTAGACTCGGCAAAAGAAGCAGCAACAGATGTAGACGTGCTCATTACCGCGCTTCCAAAGCCACAGCATGTCAAGGCGGTAATGGAAGAAGGCGGGCTTCTTCATGCTCTCAACAAGGGTAGCATTTGGATTGATCATACGACTACCGACTACAATGAGACTATTCGACTATGCAAACTGGCTGAAAGTCTCGGAGTTCGTGGAATAGAGGCCCCATTGACGGGGGGTATTACCCTCCTTAAGGATAAAATGATGACAGTGTTTGTAGGGGGCGAAGAAAAAACCGCTCACGAATGCAAGCCGGTGATGGACACTTACACTGGAACCTTCTTGTATTTTGGCCCAGTAGGAAAAGCCACAGTAGCTAAGGTGATTTCAAACATGTTGGCTGCAGTACATTTGGTTTGCGCTGGAGAGGCGCTCATGATCGCAAAGCAAGCAGGCTTAGATATAGAGAATTTCTTTGATGGAATACGCGCTAGCGCTGGKAATTCTTATGTGTTCGAAACAGAGGTACCTCTTATGTTTAAAGACACGTACCACCCTGACTTTACCATTGATCTACATTGTAAAGATCTGAATCTAGGAAAGAGCATTTGCAATTCTCATGGAGTGTCCTGGGATAAACTAGAAGTGATGTCTGCTGGGGAAAAGATGTATCAGAAAGCACTAAAGAGGTATGGCGAGAATGTAGGTTCAAGCTACCCTGCCAAGATGCTGGCGGACGATCTACAAGTGTCTCATCATTTAAAGAACTGGGAAGATTGGAGCTACTCTATAGAGAAAGTTACTGGAGGGAGCTTTGGTGTTGTGCAGAAAAGATCAAAAGTTCCTCTAAATGGACCGGCGCCATCAAAGGAACTTTCTTAGGTCACATCACAGGGAGCCCGGCTTTGGGATTTGTACATGAATAAATGAATCAATAAAGTGCTTTGGGTTTCCTGTGTTGAGATTTGAAACAAGGCGCTGATACGTTGAATTTCCGGTAATCGTACTACCAGTAACTTGATAGAGTGATTGCCATATGACCGTGAAAGAAAATAGACCATTTAGTTTGTAATAGTTGATAAGAACAAAAGAAAATCATTGGTTTAGAGTCTACTACTAACTATTAGTTTGCCTATTCTTTCACGGTCATATGGCAATCACTCTAGCAGATATTAACGTAACGTATCAGTGTAACGCACGCCCTAGTAAATGGTAATTGCCAGCACTCGTCATGTTGACATTCAGACTGTGTTCCTCTAAAGCTCATTAGCACTGGTCCCATCAACCGCTGGTGCACATGTAACAATAAACTTGCCTTGTTTCAGCCCTTCTCTCTTTCTTACCATTTACTAGGGCGTGCGTTACACTAATACGTTAAATTTGAATTATAAGCTGCTCTCGAATTACTTACATTAATCTGCTATCAAGTTACCAAATCTCAACATAGGAAACCCAAAGCACTTTATTGATTTATTTATTCATGTACAGATTCCAAAGCCGGGCTCCCTGTGTTATGTAGTGACCGTTTGTATACACTTTGTATGGGTGTATTGAGTTACGATTATTAYGTAATGTCATTAACATAGGAAACGTGGTCGTTTTGATGTAGCATCACCAAGCCGGGCTCCCTGTGGCCTGCACGCTGGCTATTAAAGGTCACATACCCTTGGTGCCAAAGTTTGAAAGATGCACAAGGGTTAATGCCTTTCGTGGTCAGGTTCCACTAAGCTGGACATCTCAAACTATAACCAATAATTTATAATTTCATAATAACATTTAATTTTATACAATATATATATTTTGTTTTGCATAGAATAGTATTTTGGAAAATTCTGGAAGATTTAGTGTCTTGATACTGAACTAGAGTTTACAAAAATAGAAGTAAATTTTACCTTTTTGAAGTGAAAAATGATTGAGCTTTACAAAACTGAACGCTTTGCGATGTGTCTACATTGTTAACGACATAAACAAGAAGGGTTTAACCTGTAGACTCTACAAATGKTCGCGCAACAGATACATTGTTGTAACGTAACCATATTTGTCACGAGTCATTTACAGGATAAATATTGCCATTTAGCCTCGTAATGAAGAGCATCAGAACGAGGTTTGTAGGCAAAATAGAGTTCCTCCCTAGGCCATATAAATGATAATTTTCTAAATCTATCACATTGATTCTTTTGAAATATTTGAAGCTTCGACTTTTACATGAACCGAGTATCTGATAAAGTATAACGTTTGAGAATTGGGTTACCATTATTATATTTTAAATATTTTAAATTTTATATCTTTTCTAGAAATAGACAAAAAAATTAAATATCTCCCAAAGAATGTGAAAAAAAAAACCACTAATAAGGGACTATTAGTTTTTTAACCTGAGTAAATTCGGTACATGAAAGTTTGAAGTTGAAATACCTTTTACGCGCACAGCCCTTTTGGACAGTGTATTCKTATACTCTTCTACTAAATGAAACGTAGAAAATAGAAAGAATAGAGTACGAATCTACTGTTGACATTTCCCCCCTATTGCCAGTGATTTCTTCTAAGGATGAACAGTAGGACAAACAGGAACCTATAACTCCTTTGAAATTCATTCAAAATGGCAGTTATGACAGTTATGAACACCATTTTGTATGAATTACAAAACCAGCAAATTAATGGCTTCAACTCCCTAAGTTACCGTTGCTATGTCCCACAAGCTCAAAAATTTGGATGCATTATTTATGCTTAAAACTCAAACCACACAAAATTGGTTATAATTTGCCTTAGTTTTGACATTTCCATGAAGGAAAAATTCTTTTAATCTTTGTGGTGCTCTTGAAAATGTTAAATTTATTGTTAAATTTCAGTAATTGTTAGTTTGTGGGATGGGGTAAGCATTGGCTTTTACTAGAAAAAAAACAACTAGATACAGTGATTTGTTCACTTTTGGGTTGGAACCATTAATTTTACAGGCAGCTATGACTTCATAGAAAATTTCTATTCCCCTCCCTCCCCTCCATCTTATCAAAATGAAATGAAAATAGATGCTATTTAGCTGATATCAGCTAATTCTTCAGCCATCGAATGCAACAATGCAAGTGTTGCTGTCACATCCTCCTTTTCAGTTTCATCCTCRGCATCATCTGCATCATCCATTGGTAAAGCAGCAATGCAATCTTCTGCTTCTTTGTTGTCTACACTAGTTCTTGGGCTATCAACAGATTTATCTGTCGATAGCGTATCGGAAGTATGATTTACTGGTTCAAAATACACGGACGAAGAAGTCTCCATGTTRAATACAGCTTTGTCGATTTCACTAGGCTCATGTTCCATGTCRGAAAAGTCGTCTTCGCTAGTTTGCAAAATATCATCGTCTAAGGAGTCCATTGCTATACTAGTGTTTAATAGATCCAGTTCATTCTCTGTGTTTTCTGCGCTATCTTTAACGGGAAGAGGAACTTTAAATCCTTTTGTWTGGGGTTCCTGTTTGATTTTAGTGACTTGTTCTTGTTTTACTACTGTAGTTTGTGGAGCATTCGTAGACATTGTTTCTTTCGGTACTTCAATCTTTACCATATTTTTCAGAGCCTTTAAATCTTCTGAAAGTAATTAAGAGAAAAGAAATTTAGCAAAATTTTTCACAGCTGCCATGTTGGTTCACAATAACAAAGCATTCCTCATAAGCTTCTCTTTCATTGATATTCATATCTCAAAGGATTTATAGCCATGTGGGACCTTGCACCCCAAAAACTAGAGTAAGACTTGATTATTTCTGGGCATCCCCATGGTATCTCTATCTCCTGGGTCAATATTTTATTTTGATGAGAATGATTAGTAGATTTCTACTGGTCAATTCTCTACTTTCCAATAACCCGTAATGCTTTGGTTGTTGGTTGGTAACTGGCCAAAAAACCTTTTCCAGGGAGTTGAAATATGTAACACTATAACCATGCTCTGGATTCAGATATGCCATATGGGCCACTGTTCTTCATAACAGAGGACACCTTAGACACTCACGCACCTGCTATTTGTTTCTTATCTTGAGCTAATGCCGCTCTTTCATCAGCCAGATATAGTCGATACAGCATGACCATTTCTGATGACGGCTCTTTACGCTGCAAAACAACAAATCATATCATTATTTTCAAGTTTTTTTCCAGGTTCTTCATTTTTTCTCTCTTTGTAAAACCTAACAAGCTAAACTCTCATTCCATCTGTGAGTTAGCAGTGCCCCAACTTTGGCAGATCTGGTGCAAAAAGGAGCTAGTTTCTGATTAGGGGGTACCTAAGTTAGGTAGGGATGCTTAGATGAATATGAATCATAGCTCTTACCAAACTTTCTTCCAACATGAGAGTTCTGTATTTGTTTATCATCTTTTCACTCCGCTTTATCAGTTGATCAGCCACAGTGTTAAAGAGACCTTCRGCTGTACACAAAATAAGATAAGATGTAAGACAGTGAGGGAGATTCTTCAAATATCTTTTAGAAATAGCATATWTTAWCATAGTTTMCCCYACAGCCAGAAGAGTGTACATTCTATCAACTCTCACAGCTGYRGGGGAGACTAATTTTGTCAATGTTGGTGGAAAATATTTTGCTTTGACTTTTAGATAATAGAAAACAATGTTACACTGCTGGTATAATGTGATTAGCTATAGAATCTCTTAATAAATCATCAATGCTTTATATGCATTGCGATGCGCTTGACATCAAATGTATTCAATTTCATTTTATAAAACAAATTTCTAAAGAATAAATTTAGGTCAAATGCAGAAAATAGGAATTGTGAGATTTATTAAATATTTACTAACATTTTTCTATATCTTTTGGGGTTTGACCAGGGTCGTGATAAACATGATAAGTACGTAGTTTATTTATAGCGTCAATTCTTGACTTGAACGGAGTATGGATGTCTGGATGGGTGACCACTTGCTGGTCTTGATACAGTGCACTCTTTAACCTATCAAATAAAATGGGTGTAATTTTATAAATCAGTGAGAAATAAAATAAGTCAGTCTTGACTGAGCTAATCAAGAGATGGAAGATGGTGTAGGTGGATTGATAGTTTGATGTTTGTATATGTTTGATAAATGACTGGATGGTTGGATGGATAGATGGAGGGATAGATGAAGAGACGGACAGATGGATGAAAGAACTAACACTAAGAAACGAGGGTCTTCTTAATAAATGACATCATCAGTTACCTTGTAACAACTTTAGGAGGTTCTTGTGTTTCTGGATGGGATCGTTTTATGCCTCTATTTGGTTCCTGAATAATAAAAAGCTTTTTATCAGATTAAAAAGCTATTGGAGATGTTTCTATGCATAGTCCCGGCCACTTGTCCTATGTAGTTTTTCCTTTATTTATTTGCTCTTTTGTTATCTTGTTTGTTAGGTATTGGTTTGTTACGGTCAGCAAAAGGTTCGGACATCGTTCTCGGATTTCCATACATATTCACTGACTTTAAAGAGAAAATTTAGATAGATTTCTTTAGTTAGCTATCTTAACAGCAGTAAGGAAAGCTTCAAATCAAGCTAGAAAAACGATTATTTACTTGTATTTAGAGAACTAACTAAACATTAACCAAGTATATAGTTCATTTAGAGTCAGTACATTAGTACGGAAATTCGAGAATGCCTGAACTTTTTGGTGACCGTAACACAATCTAAAACAATTTATACCCCGTGACGGCTAGCGCTAAAAAGGTGAATTAAAATAAAAACTAATAAATGAATAAAAACAACAACAAAAAACAAAAAAATTAACCCTATGTTGACATGGTTTTTTGACCATATTTTACTCTGGTAAAAATATCAATATTGCCAAACTTTCTTACCTGTTTTACTGTCGTGGCTATCTTGGAAGAAACCTGTGAAAAATTGAAGGGTTAGTAAGTGAAGTGCCACACAAAGATACACAAAGAGGCAGCCACTTACAGTGTATGATAAATCATGACAATCAATTCAAAAAAATAAATAAGAAAATAGATACAAAAAAATAAATGACAATAAAACAGTGATTCCACAGAGTTGCTCTTCTTGCATGATGGCTCCATTTTACCACCCCCCCCATACCAGAATCCCTTGCACACTTTCTTACGTTCAGTTAATTAGCACTAAAGCATCTTGGTAGGGGGAGTGAAATGACACCAGCATGCAAGCATCCTATTGCAATTTAGAAGTTGCAGAAAAAGAAAAAAAAMAACAGAGAACAGAGAGAAAATCCTTCGAAGCACTGGAGAGAATGAACAACTAATCAAATGTAGCAGAGGCAAATGCTCTCACTACTACTCCAAACATGCTTCCCCTTCATAAAGTAGACTCCCAATTTTAATTTCACCCTTAATATCATAATAAAGGAAAATTTAAAACATGATGGAACATTACATACTGTATGTGCATCCCCAATCATCAAAAGCCCTAATGCTAGATTCTATACTAACCTGGCTGGTTGTAACTGGTTGTCGGCCTGAAGTCTGCAATATTCTCGGTACATGTGCCATCTTGGTCTGCGTTTTTGGTGTTTGTTGAGATGACAGCTGCTTTTGAATCTGTTGTACAAGTGCTTGTCGTTGGATTAGAGTTTGTGGTGACTGTGGCATCTTGCCGGCCTGTTGTTGGATTGTGTGCAACTGCTTCACTTGTTGTGCACTGAGCACAGTCGTGCCAGTCTTGCTCCCCGCTGGAGTATTATTCTGAATAATAATGGTTTGCTGATTGGGTTGTTGCTGATTCTGCATCTGTTGCAAAGCTTGGAGCTGTTGTGGTGTGATCTGAATAGTTTGAGTCTGTTTAGCTCCTTGTACTCCTAATTTTTGAAGCATTTCTGGCTGTCTTATGATAAATACTTTTTGGACAGCTCCTAAATTCTGCAGCTGTTGCACTTGAGCTGGCGTTAGTTGCTGTACRGTGGTACTAGAACCTTGTGAGGGGGTCAACGACTGCTTAGACTGGAGAATGAAGTTCTGTTGGGTTACTGGTTGAGGGCTACCCTGTTGGCTGTTCACAGTTTGTCCTTGGGTTCCCATAACATTTTGAACAAAAACAGTGCTATTTTGATTGACCTGTTTGGCTTGACTGACCTGTTGAATATTGCTAACAACTTTAGTTTGCTGTTGTTGTTGGTTCATTAGATTCTGTAGCTGGACACCCGAGTATTTTGAGTTTCCAGCAGTTGTGGTAGCACCTGTAGATAAAGGTGGGCCACTTTTCTGAACTAAAAAATTTCCTTGACTAACGATCACCATTGGCTGTGAAACAGAAGCATTTGCTTGACTGCTTCCAACTGGTATCTGTTTATTATTCACATTTAAAGTTTTTAAGCTTTGTTGATTTAAATTTGTAACATTTTGCCCAACATTTAAAGTTTGTTGATTTGACGACAAAGTGTTTTGTGCTACTGCAACAACTCGTTGATTCGGCGACACCATCTGTATTTGCTGATTACTAACTGCAATTTGATTGGCCATTGTTACATTTGCATTTGGAACAGTTTGGCCAATCGTCTGCGCAATTGGTTGCTGCTGCAACTGCATAATACTTGGTTGAACATTAACTTGTACTTTCTCAGACTGGTTTTGCTGTTGTGCCAACTGCACTTGTTGAATCAACTGTTTCAGAATCTGCTGTTGCACTAGTAAGTTTTGTTGCTGCCCAGGTGAATTCTGTGCAAGAAGTTGACTTTGTTTCAGAGCAGCTTGAAGCTGAGCTTGAGTAAAAACCTTCTGTTGTACATGACTACCTTGTGGCTGTGCCTGCTGCTGACCTCCAAGTTTCTCTTGAACAAGCTGTTGAATTTGCTGAACATGTTGTATGGGTTTTGCTGGCAATGACTGGACTGATGTTACCTGATTACTTGGTGCAATCTGTCTCACCATGTTTGTTATTTGTTGTGGGTAAAGTTGAGACTGGCTCTGAGCTCCCTGTGTTGTCGGAGCTTGAAGTAAATGTGCCGGCAGTTGTACCTGTTTGTTCATAACATTTGTTTGTGTTAATCTCATTGGAGAGGTGATTGTCAGAGCTGGATTCAAAGGTGGGGACAAAACTTGCTTGGGAGCGATTCTTTTAGGTGGGGTTGTCAGGATTGACTGTGCACTACCTTGTGCAGTTCTGTTAGCCTGTAAAGCTTGATACTGTGAGATTCTAGCTTTCTCTGTTCCATTGACACTAGGTGGAACATTAGATTTGGGTCGTACAGTTGTTTGTGCCATAGGCAACTGGTTTATAACTTGTGTAGTTTGTCTAGCATTGCCGTGAGCAGTCATACCCACAGGAATTGTAGTATTTGGCCTAATTACTTKATTTTTAGGTTGTATAGGTATTGGTTTTTTACTTTGAAATGTTCCTCCTGTTGAAATCCCTTTAGAACTGCTAGCCATGGTACTGGCAGGAATATTAACTGCAGCTGGTTTAGCAACTTGAGAAAACGTTCTTGAAACATTTGACATTACAGGTGCTTTTGTATTATTCCTAAATGGACTTTGGGCACTAGAATTGTTTAATGCTGCTTTTGAAAACTTTCTGTTTGTTTGCTGACCCAAAAGACTTGTGGGGACATTAATGCTTGACGATATTGGTAATGTATTAGCAATAGAATGGCTGATGCTCTTCTGCCCAGCGTCAGACACCTGCAGCAAAAATGGAACATAAAAAATAGATACTTTAATATTAGGTTATCAAAAATATTGAAAAATATAAGCTCAGGGCTATACAAATAATATCCAGCCAAATTTGGGAATGGACTACTTTGAATATACRGAGGTCATCTTGGATTGCAAGGCAATATGGGATATATAGGGGGTAAATAGAGCTTTGTTACAGTAATGATGTTGATAAATCATATTAAAAGCTCAGCACAAAAAATATAACAAAAGGTGAATCAATGTAGCACAATGATCACCTTTACCCATAAGAGAAAGACAAACACACATTCATGTAACTCTATATTTTCTGTCATGTTTGTTTTGTTTCGTCCCCTGGCAAGAGGACCGCCATATTGGCACATTGATCACCTTTACCCATAAGAGAAAGACAAACACACGAAACTCTATATATATTCTGTTATCTTTGTTTTGTTTTGCCCCTTGGCAAGACAGCCGTTATATCGTCCATTAACTAAATGCCACTTAGGCATACATCGTAGGTTTCAATTGAAGGTGTGTACTGGCAGTTAATCGCCTGGTACTTCACCTCTCATTACTAGCTATTTCATGTTTAGATGAAAAATCAAATTTAATCTAATACAGAAGACAGTGGCTTGTGAACAGAGAGCCTCCAACTTCTAAAATAACTGAATTTTCTGCCAAGGCTGGCAATGAGCAGAAATTATTTCATCCCTGTGGTCTTGGTATTTAATGCATATTTACCTTTATAGCTCTATTCTTTGTATTGCTCAAATCCTCTCCATCCAGCAATAACTATGTGAGAACAAAGAGAAAAGACAGGACATTGATTTTACCACTGTTTACATTATTTCTACGCACTGATCGAGACAGGAAAATCTGGAAATAGACTAATGTCAATCAAATAAATTGTTCTGTACTGTTATATACTCTGATTAACGGCACTGTATTGCCCAATTCACCAGTCATGACCGTTGTTTTGATCAGTGCATAGCAATCAAAACAATCAATCTATATTTAATCTTAATTGAGAAATAATCTGTCCTGATCGACACGAGTGAAAAATGTCTGTGCATGCTCTGAATCAGTATTCAAATTAGTCAAATTATGTGTAAATTTGACTTTTAAACATGCCTGATAAATTAGACTTTACAAAATGCCCAAAACTTAGTGCCCATGCTTGAAACTTAAGGCAAATTCTTTCATATTGCGTTTGTTAATTTAATTTAATTCTCGCTCAGACTCTTCAAAATTCTTAGAAAACATGCTGAAATGCACGAACGTAAGAGTGTCACTTTATTGAAGTAATAATTAACGAGATGTGAGTCTTCGAGTGGCGAGGTAAATATTCCCCAATAATCACTGAGCCTGAGGCAAATAATTGTTTTAGTATAAATACACAGGTGATTCTTTCAAAAAAAGAAAAAAGAAGGTAAAAGGCATTTTTTCCCAGTAACAGCAACAAAGCAGCTGGCCGCCATTTTGGATTTTCACTCGAGGTGATTATCGTGTGATAATGTGAGTTTCTTGACCAATCAGTGCACGAGATTTTCTATAATCACCTGCGTATTTTTACTAATGTTCAATAGTTTAGTTCACTGGCTTTAAAAATATGGTTTTAAGCTTTTCTTGAATACCAATAAGCCTCATAACTGTAATGATTGACAGCTACTAACCAAACTGTCACCCAAACCACAATGTATCACAGGTATCCCAACTCAAGCATAGTTCTTTAGCAGTGTACATTTTAGTTTTTAGGCATAAATACAAGGCTAATAAATCTGTTTCAGTCCATTTGTAGTATCAATAAAGAAAGTTATATTCATACCTGACTGTTACTTCTTAAAAATTCACTCAAAGCTGATGGATCACTACAAATAATATGAAACCTGGTTAATAGACTAATCATAAAATATTAGAGATTATTAACAAATGCAATCAAATTATGAGACTAATTTTCTAGATAATTGCATTAAAGTCATTAGACTTTTACAAAAATCCAATCCAATTTATCACCACGAATTAAGCTTTATATCATCAGTTTTTTAGAAAGATGATGAGAAATTTACCTTATAACATCCAACAGACATTTTCCACTGCCATCATCCATAACTCACATCACAATTCTAGAAATCAGAAGTAAAAATATTCAGTACATTTATAAGATTAGCTCACGAGTAGGCTGATTTTAACGTTATCAAGGCCCCTACGGGCTGGATTCTATATACTTCCTACATATATTCTGGAACCTGGCTCTTTTTCTGAAACGACTTCAATATAAAATTACAAAGACATTGAAAATGGCCACAGCACAAAGAAATCACCCAAAATTCTCAACTCCTTTCCAGATCCAAAGTTTCTAGCTTCGTAAATATGGATTGAGGGGTGCAAATTCACCCCTCTAGTGACGGGAAACGGTGCAAAAAACCGGGAGTTCTGTTTCAAACCTTTGAGAGCAATTCGTCTTGATGGCGTGCTCTTCCTTGCTTGCATGGGTCGTCTTTGTTGGTCTCCTACCGGCCTGCACGTGGGATTTTTCGATCCATAGTGGCTTAGTTGTGGGTAGTATGTACCTTAGTATGGTGGTAGTGCCCCTCGTACGGGCAAAGTTCCTGTTTTGGAGTGATTTTAGCTAAAATTTCACGACGGACATGCGACCGCCACTAGCATTTGTTCCAAGCAACCATCTACGGGGGAGACCAGGGCTCGGACTTACCACGTGACTCATTATACTCCTACGTAATTAGGGGAATGAGGAGAGCGGAAGTCGGGGGAAGTGTACAAGGATTGCGGGTATTTGGAAAGAGGGAAATAAAGAAATAAAGAAAAATAAAAGGAAAAAAATAA